TTTTAGCCCATTTTTGAGGTCATACAATACTATGTGTCATTTTAGGTAATAATTAAGGTCATGCTATACTATGACTACTTTTAGCCCATTTTTGAGGTCATACTATACTAAGACAACTTTTAGTCAGTTTTTGAGGTCATACTATACTATGACAACATTTAGCCAATTTTTGAGGTAATACTATACTATGTGTCATTTTAGGTAATAATTAAGGTCATACTATACTATGACTACTTTTAGCCCATTTTTGAGGTCATACTATACTAAGACTACTTTTAGCCCATTTTTGAGGTCATACTATACTATGTGTCATTTGAGGTAATAATTAAGGTCATACTATACTATGACTACTTTTAGCCCATTTTTGAGGTAATACTATACTATGTGTCATTTTAGGTAATAATTAAGGTCATACTATACTATGACTACTTTTAGCCAATTGTTGAGGTCTTACTATACTATGATTCGTTTCTAGATCATACTATACTATGACTCTTTTTAGCCCATTTTTGAGGTCATACTATAATATGACTACTTTTAGTCCGTTTTTGAGGTCATACTATACTATGATTTGCTTCTAGATCATACTATCTTATGACTTTTTTTAGCCCATTGTTGAGGTCATACTATACTATGACTTTTTTTAGCGAAGTTTTGAGGTCATACTATTCTAAGACTACTTTTAGCCAATTTTTGAGGTAATACTATACTATGATTAGTTTTGAGGTCATGCTATACTATGTTTAATTTTAGGCAATAATTGAGGTCATACCATACTATGACTACTTTTAGCCCATTTTTGAGGTAATACTATACTATGATTCGTTTTGAGGTCATGCTATACTATGACTTGTTTTAGCCAATATTTGGGGTCATACTATACTATGACTACTTTTAGCCAATTTTTGAGGTCATACTATACTATGACTACTTTTAGCCAATTTTTTAGGTCATACTATACTATGTGTCATTTTAGAAAATAATTAAGGTCATTCTATACTATCACTACTTTCAGCCAAAGTTTGAGGTCATACTATACTATGTGTTATTTTAGGCAATAACTGAGGTCATACTATACTATGACTACTTTTAGTCAGTTTTTGAGGTAATACTATACTATGTGTCATTTTAGGTAATAATTAAGGTCATACTATACTATGACTACTTTTAGCCCATTGTTGAGGTCTTACTATACTATGATTCGTTTCTAGATCATACTATACTATGACTCTTTTTAGCCCATTGTTGAGGTCATACTATACTATGACTTCTTTTAGCCCATTTTTGAGGTCATACTATACTATGTTTAATTTTAGGCAATAATTGAGATCATACAATACTATGACTACTTTTAAGTAATTTTTAAGGTCATATTATACTTTGACTCATTTTAGCCATGTATTGAGGTCATACTATACTATGACTACTTTTAGCCCATTTTTGAGGTCATACTATACTATGTGTCATTTTAGGTATTAATTGAGATCATATTATAATATGACTACTTTTAGTCAATTTTTGAGGTAATACTTTACTATGTGTCATTTTAGGCAATAATTGAGGTCATACTATACTATGACTACTTTTAGTCAGTTTTTGAGGTAATACTTTACTATGTGTCATTTTAGGTAATAATTAAGGTCATACTATACTATGACTCCTTTTAGCCCATTTTTGAGGTCATACTATACTAAGACAACTTTTAGTCAGTTTTTGAGGTCATTCTATACTATCACTACTTTTAGCCAATTTTTGAGGTCATACTATACTATGACTGTTTTTAGCTGATTATTAAGGTCAAAGAATACTATGACTACTTTCAGCCAAAGTTTGAGGTCATACTATACTATGTGTCATTTTAGGTAATAATTAAGGTCATACTATACTATGACTACTTTTAGCCCATTTTAAGGTCATACTATACTATGTGTCATTTTAGGTAATAATTAAGGTCATACTATACTATGACTACGTTTAGCCCATTTTTGAGGTAATACTATACTATGTGTCATTTTAGAAAATAATTAAGGTCATTCTATACTATCACTACTTTTAGCCAATTTTTGAGGTCATACTATACTATGACTGTTTTTAGCTGATTATTAAGGGCAAAGAATACTATGACTACGTTTAGCCCATTTTTGAGGTAATACTATACTATGTGTCATTTTAGAAAATAATTAAGGTCATACTATTAGCCAAATTTTGAGGTAATACTATACTATGTGTCATTTTAGAAAATAATTAAGGTCATTCTATACTATCACTACTTTTAGCCAATTTTTGAGGTCATACTATACTATGACTGTTTTTAGCTGATTATTAAGGTCAAAGAATACTATGACTACTTTCAGCCAAAGTTTGAGGTCATACTATACTATTTCTCATTTTAGGTAATAATTAAGGTCATACTATACTATGACTACTTTTAGCCAATTTTTGAGGTAATACTATACTATGTGTCATTTTAGGTAATAATTAAGGTCATACTATACTATGACTACTTTTAGCCCATTTTTGAGGTCATTACTATTTACTTGACTTCTTTTAGCCAAGTTTTGATGGTAATCACTTATAGGCTTATATCGTTTTTAGGCGCAATAATTGGAGGGTCATACTCATAATATGACTAACTTTTCAGCAATTTTTGAGGTAATACTATACTATGTGTCATTTTAGGTAATAATTAAGGTCATACTATACTATGAATACTTTTAGCCCATTTTTGAGGTCATACTATACTCTGACTACTTTTAGCCAAATTTTGAGGTAATACTATGGCATATATCGTTTTAGGCAATAATTGCGGTCATACTATACTATGACTACTTTTAGCCCATTGTTGAGGTCTTACTATACTATGACTTCTTTCAGCCCATTTTTGAGGTCATGTTATACTGTACTATGACTTGTTTTGAGGTCATACTATACTATGTTTAATTTTAGGCAATAATTGAGATCATACAATACTATGACTACTTTTAAGTAATTTTCAAGGTCATATCATACTTTGACTCATTTTAGCCATGTATTGAGGTCATACAATACTTTTAATTTTTTTAGCCAATTTATTAGCCAATTTTGAGTTTTTAGGCAATAATTGTGGTCATACTACACTATGACTCTTTTTAGCCCATTTTTGTGGTCATACTATACTAGGACTCTTTTTTTTGCCAATTTCTGAGGTCATACTATACTATAACTCATTTTAGCCAAATTTTGAGATCATATACTATGAGTTGTTTTAGCCAATTTTTGAGGTCATACCTTACTATATGTCATTTTAGGTAATAATTAAGGTCATACTATACTATGACTTCTTTTAGCCCAGTTTTTAAGTCATACAATACCATGACTACTTTTAACTAATTTTGAAGGTCATATTATAGTATGACTCATTAGCCATTTATTGAGATCATACAATACTATGACCACTTTTAGCCCATTTTTGAGATCATATTATACTGTTGTGATTTTATGTCCAATTCCATTCCCAGCCAGCTGGGAATTTATATTTCTGATGCTTTAAGAAGCTCATCACCCTCCCCAGTAGGGGTGGGAAATATCTTTTTTAAGCAGATATTATTTTGGCTGTTATATACTTTTTATGAACACACACCCTACTAGCTGTGTGTTAGAACAATAAATGAGGGATTTGAGCGCTAATCATGGTCAAACAGTTAATTCTGCACATACATGGAATAAATTCACCACAACTTCTGTTCAAAATATGAGTTTATTAACAAAAATCATTCAGCTCCAACTCAAACATATTTCAGTTTAATACTCTCAACTAAGACTAGTGAAACTCAACTAAACTAAACCAAACTACTATGTACAAAGAGGAAGGGGAACATGGTAAAAAGCATATTACAGTTTAAGATGGATTTTGAGTTTGAGAAACAAAGTTTAACTGGAAGAATTTGGGATATGATCAAATTAACTTTTCACTAATTTAGAGAAATTGGAATGTTTTCAGACCAATTCACAATATAAATCCATGACGCAAATAAAACATTATTTGGCCAAATAATGTTTTGTTAAATTATTCTCTTAATCAAGAACCAATAACCTTTAGTCAAATGATTCTTTACCGTCTTTCTAATAGCTATTAGTGAATCAGGATTCCACTAAATGACTCTTGGTCGTACTTGGTATTCGAAATGTAATGAGCATATGAGGAACACATGAACACTAATGTTACAGTATATCAGTGTTTATTCATCAGTAAACATGTGATATAATTAACATCATCAAAAGACATTTTGTTTGTTCTGTCCCTAATTATGGACAGAACAAACATTTTTTTCCATGTCCATTTGGAAAGCTTGAGTTTCATCCAGCTGTAGCCCAGCAGTCAGGGCAGCAACCTGGGGTTCTTTGTCTCAGTGGCACATAGCAGGGGTTCTCTTTATCTCAGTCATTCATCAAGGCAGGCCTTCTCATCCAGTCTGGTTCTATAAGTCCTGAAACTCAAGAGAAATGTGTTGCAAAAAGTCTGTTTTGCAGCAGCAGTTTGGTTCTGAAAGGTTACCACAATGACCCATCCTTCATGATTCTGGACGTCCCATTGGGCCCGCATCTCCACTGTGGTGGAAAACCTTTTCTCTGTTGTTTTGTACGTTCTCCCACAGAGGGGGGTGGTTGGTCACACCTCTGTGGCTTACCATGTGATTGGCCTGTGGAGGCCTTGGCTGAAAAAGGGGGGGTCCGCAAAAGTCCCCCAGCTGTTATTCACCAAAGTTGCGTGTTCTCCTCTGGTCATCATGGCATATGGCACAACAATACTATGACTCTTTTTAGCAAATTTTTGAGGTCACACAATACTATGATTTCTATTAGCCAATTTTGAAGTCATACAATACTATGGTTCATTTTAGTCGATTATTTAGATCAGATATGATATATTTAATATGAAATCACCTTCTACTATAAGCACAACATGGCAATTAAAAATAAAACTGTCAATCCAAAATTAAATTTTCTCCTTATTATAACAGATGAATCAAGGCCCAAACCAAAGTAAGTTTTTTTCTATTGTTTCCTATCCTTATTATACCAGAAATGATTGTTACTATAATGTAATTTCTTATTTTGCAGGGCTTTTGCACCACCCATAGCTGTTCCAAAGATACCAGAGGGAGATAAGGTGGACTTTGATGTAAGTGATCCATCATTACTTTCTCTTTAAGGGTTAATGTTGAACAAGAAGTGTTAAAGAAGACTTACAGGAATTGTTTTAATTGGATCCTCTGTACAGAAGCAAGGCAAACATGTTTGTCTGTGACCTTCTTGTAGGACATCCACAGGAAGCGTCAGGAGAAAGATCTGTCAGAGCTGCAATCTCTGATCGAAGCCCACTTCATTCAGAGGAAAAAGGATGAGGAGGAGCTCATCGCTCTTGTTAACAGGATTGTAGGTCTTCCTTGAAAGTGCACACTACTGCCAGGGTGATGTACCACCCTGCAAACAATTATGCAGTCTCTCTCCCTCTCTCTTTTTCCCTGTGTGGATGATTAGGAGAAGCGTCGTGCTGAGAGGGCTGAACAGCAGAGGATCCGCACTGAGCAGGAGAAGGAGAGGCAGGCTCGTCTCGTTGTGAGTACCTTTGAAACTGCGGCTTAACAAAGTGAATTTGTAAACTGGGATGAAAATTCAAATTTATTCAAAGAAACTAATTAAACTCCCTGGTACAAAAAAAGTAAGCTTCTTTCAAATTTAGAGAAAAACAAGTGTTTTAAACCAGTTTGATGTGCAGAGCAGTTTCATTGTTTTTTTAGTCTGAATAATATGGTGGCTCTTAGAACAGTTCTCTTCTTCTATGTGAAGTGTAGAACAAATTAAAGCTTAAAACTCATCATTTTCATATTAGGAGTAGGAATCTATGCCTTCCTATTACATCAGCATACTTACCTGCCACAGTTCTATGTTTGACAGCTTTAAAGCAAAATGCATAGCTGAACCAAACACACTTTTATTGAAGTTTTGTAAAAAGAAAAAAAATTGGAAAGTAGAAGGAAAACTTGGTTCTAAATAAATTCTTACAAGGTCTGAAAAGTGATAATTTTCAGCACCTGTGAGTCAAACCTTTTTTAGAAATTGTATTCAAAGCTAGACATCTTTATTTAAAGGAAAGTATTATTTGCCTTTGATTTTAGCAATACGCCCGACTATGTGTTTATTTTTTAAGAAATATTTAGAGGTTTGGATTTTCAACAAAAGAGTTATGAATGTTAAAAAAGTCTGACTTTACAAAGAAATAACTTGGTAAGAGGTTTAATATTATTGGTCTATGTTTTCTGGCTCTTACATTTTGTTTCGGCTACTGTCTCTTTAAGGCCATGCTTGTCCTCTTATTGGTCACCTGCACACCTGAGAACGCAGGTGTTTCTCATTTCCACCTGGAGCTGTTTAACACAGAGAGCTGTTAAAAAAATACATGCTTTAAGCTTTCTTAACAAAAATAAATAAATTTTTGCTCCTGTTGTTTCTAAAAGGTAGAAGAAAAATAGTTAATAATCAACTATTTTCTTATGTATTCATTGTATTTCTGCTTTACAGGAGGAAAAAGAGAGGAAGGAACAGGAGGAGGCTCGTAAGAAGCATGAGGACGACACCAAGAAGAAAAAGGCTTTGACCAACATGACCCAACATTACGGTGGTCAGCAAAGGGTCAGTTTAAAAAGTTTTTTTTTTAATCAGCTTTCTCTATATATGCAGTTTTTCCTTCATGTTCATAAACAGCAAACATAGCTAAAAAAGCTAAACAAAGCCACAGTAACAAGAATATATTATATTAGCCTAATACCTATTTTATATGTTTAACAACCTTTACAATATCCATTGTTCCAGGGGAGTTAATCAAACAAAATTCCCAATTTATACTCCTAATTACTTTCCATAAATGTATCATTTCTTTTATTTTGCTTTATAGTAGTAAGTCCTAGTTTTATTTTTTGTCAGTGAGAGCTTAAACCTTCATTTTAAGGCCTCTAACTTGCCTTTTGCACTTTCTTCATCATAAAATCATGATTCCTTCCCCTTTTCAAAAAAACTCCATCTTCACACATTCCAACCGCAAAGTTTTTATCAATACAGTATCACAGTGATACTTTCTATCATGTATTATGACAGAAAAGACAACTAGGATAACAATGCTGTCTTGTGGAGTGCCATTTTAAACTGTATAATCTGAAATAAACTAACACAAATTAGTTTAAAAAAAACTCAAAATAATTTGATTCATTTTCTAATTTTACTCCTTATTCCAATATTTATAATATAATTATAAGTCAATACTACAGCAATGAGTCTTTCTTTGTTAAAAAAAAATTATTTTCTTATCTAATCGTCCATCCATCAATTAAATAATTAAAGAAATTTTGGGAAAAAATATTAACTTATAAACATACCACATAAAAGTAATATTTCTGTAGTCACAAGGGGACATAAAACATATTTATGTAATTTATGTTTTTTTTATTGTTTTGCAGCAAGATGGAAAGAAGGGAGCAAAGAAGCAAACGGAAAGAGAAAAGAAGAGAAAGATCCTGGCAGAGAGGAAGAAACCACTCAACATTGACCACCTCAACGAGGACAAGCTGAAGTAAGTCTGAGGCAGGAGATGAATCCATTCATCAAAATCCATCTGTTATGTGAGTTTGAAGCCGATTTTGGTTTTTCAGCCGCTGATCTTCTGCTTTATTTCTTAAAAATAAAGGGAGAAGGCCAGCGAGCTGTGGCAGTGGCTGATGACGCTGGAGGCGGAGAAGTTTGACTACACTGAGCAGCTAAAGAGACAGAAGTATGATGTGAGTATTTAACCTCATCAGACTTTAAATAAACTCACCTCTCATATTCATTTAGATTAATAGTGAAATGGTAATTAGCCTAAGTAGCATCAGATAAACAGATGCATTGGTAAACCAACCATTTTATGCGTTATTATGCTTATAATAGTGGTGGTATAATAATATATTAGTAAACAACTTAATCTTTAGTTATCCTTTTAATGCAAATATCAAGCTCTTAAATTTACTTTGCTATAAACAGTTTGAGCAAGATCAAACTTTTTGCCCATGTAAATTATATTTTCAGTCTAAATTTTGACTCTTTTGTAAGTGTAAGTCAATCCTATTCAATCTGTGGCGTGTTTAATTGGTTGAAACACAAACAGGAAATAGCTTTTCCAGTTTCAGGGTTTATACATGAATGAGTAACTCTTATTTAATGTTCTTAGAAATAATCTTAATACCATCAACAAATACATATATATATGGCAAAATCCTTCACCATGGACAAGCTGCAGCCATGTCCCGAGTTCCTCATTTTCCCGCCACGTTGGTTCAAATTTGCATTTTCCCCATTCTCTAGCCTTTTCTCTGCCTCAAGCTTCTTTTCCGAAGCATTCTAATGCCACGATTATAAAAATGTAATGAATTTTAATGCCAATTAAGGCCTTAATTTGATAAATAATTATTGATTTTTAATGACCTGCAGAAACCCTGAGTTTGGACTTAAATGCTCATTCAGATTGGTGTTGCTTATTTAACGTAAAAGGTCTACAATAAAACGATTTTACCTTAAGGAGGCTTATGCTGTCTAAATTGAGTATGTACTGAAGGGTTTTGATATATGCACCTTAAAAAAAAAAAAAACAGTATTTCTCTACCATTAAGCATCTATAATTTGAACTAAAGCTACATTTAATGGTCAGAACAGCCTCTCATTCCTCGGATATCATAGCATCTCGACACCTTTTGATAAACATTTTACTACTGACCAGTTGGGAATCATTTAGACATCTTAGTGAACTGCTGCATCCTTTCTTCTTTGGTCTCTCTCGTCTGGTGCAGATCAACCTGCTGCAGAATCGGGTCCAGGCCACCCAGAGGTAAGTAGTAGCCGTTTTCCTGATCTCTCTTTGCTCTGAAAAAATGAAGTCAGTCTGCAAGTAGATGGTAAAATAGGAAAAAAACGGCCCATTGTTTTTGTCATAATGCTTAAAATTATCTTCTGCTTTTTAAATGGGAATTTGTATTATCTTAGGGGTGGGTTCATTTAAAGGCATTCTGTGCCGATTACTTATCAGTTACAATAAATTAGGTCTGGAATGAACTAAGTGGACAACAGCCTGTAGCGATTTGACCATTTCATCTCCTTTTCAATTTTCATCCAAGTCATAAGTTAAATCCTTCCCTTTAAGGCCTTTGTTCACGCAGCTCATTTCCCCCCCCCCTAAACAAAAGCGGACCAATGCCACTTCCATAATAAATCTGATTTATCGTCTGCAGCTTAACACTCACGTCACCTTTCATCCCACTTTGTTTCCTCTGACCCTCACTAAGCAGGCCAAAACCTAATAGTCCTGCAGACACGCGTTAGGAACCATTTACACAGATGTTTTGGAGGTCGTGTTTAATTGGTAGCACAAGCCAAAAATAGAATTGAGCATGAAGACCTGCTGTGTGAACTTGGCCTGCTTTTTGTTTGTAATTTCCCCCCATACACTGTGCCGTTTAGCTTTTATTTATTACTGTGTGCATTGTGTCTGTAACTCTGCAGCGCCAAAGGAAGAGGCAAGGCCAAAGGCAGGGTGAGATAGAGGGATGAAACCTGCCTGTCAGATGCCGGAACAACGGTGTTCGTCGATGCAGATAACTTGTACACAGAAATAAAGACACTCCTATGCCCTCTGTGGGTGTTTTTTTTTCCATCCAGATCCAACAAATGGCAATAAAACACCTCTTTATTTGTTGCTTCATACAGATTTCACAGCTAGGCAGCCAATGTAAACTTAAATAACACAATAAATAAACCTGATGGCAACAGTGACCTGCTATACAATACAGTTTGACAATAGTGCAAAAATTAAACAGCGTTTTCTGACGAGTGCTACTTCTAAAGGGACAAAGGCTGGAAATGGAGATGCCCAATGGCATTCTGGGTAGCCTTATATTTAACAGTGGTCTGTTTTACATGTCCTGATTCAGTGCAAGCTTTATATTGTGATTGGACACCATAATACCTACTGTACATTTGATCTAGGATCAGAACTTTTTAAATGTTTTTTGAGCCAAACGTTCAAGTTCAGTCATGAGTAGGAGGCTCTATCCTCAGACGCTAACATAAGGATTAGTTTTTACCAAAGATGTGTTTCTCTAATCTCAGCAATCACCTGACTGGCCCTCTGTAAAGCCTGTTGGAGGAAGAAAAAGAATTACAACTTAGAAATCTTAAGAGGGAAACTAGCTTGCTGCATTGAGGGAGCGTGTTACCTGCAGCATGTCTGCTGCCTCCTTGCGTCGCTGGGCCATGTCCTCAGACTCTGTCAGCAAGTCATTGAGGAGGCCTGATTTGTAAAGCTGTCCGACAAGTTCGCTCTGCAGGCTGTCCTTCACATGATTCACCAGGAAGTGCATCACTGCCTTCGGCACACTGGAAAAGACAAAGATGCTTAAGTCTTATACAGCAGTTTTAATACATTTATTCCAATGAATCTAAGGTTGGCTTGACTTTAAGTATCAAATCTTTAAAGTCAATATTAGAACATCCATCCTCCTTTCATGGCTGCATTTGTTTTTAGACGATAAAGAAACCTAAGATATGCTGGTGAAGATGCTGTCATCCAGGTCATAGTCGTTCCTTATAAATTAAAAAAACAATCCACTGTAGAAAGCTTCCTGGAGGGGAAGCGAAACGTCTTCAAACCTCAGAAACCAAGTCCAGTGGATTGTTTTTTTTTTAAACTATGCTGCTGCTACAAAAAAAAAAACTTTCTGTTGCACATCTATCTCAGGTTTTCCCTCCGTTTTAAGAATTAACATATTTTCAAGTAGCTCAATAAAATCTGAAGAGCAAACCTACTGGTTTTATGACCCGAAGCGAATGTCTGATAAATGAAACCAGCGTTCTCACCTGTCCTGGATGTTCTTCCGTACGATGAGGAAGTACGACTTGATGAGGCGCTCGATGACCTCGCAGTCCCTCTGCTCCCGTGACGACAGCTTCCTGGCAACCGGGACAGGCTGAGGGGAACCAAAGCCAAACAGGAGAGCTATAGTAATTCCTTAAACCCCGTCTGAATCAGTAATGGTTGATGCTGGCAGACTGGTTTGCTTACCACATCAAGCAAGTTGACGACTCCTTTAAGGGGACTTCCTGGACCAGAACCTGCCGCTTCCTCACCCTTTTTCAGCATCCCCCTCCAGTTCCCGGTGCCATCCTGCTCCGCCTGAGGCCCTCCAGCTGGAGCCTGACACACAAACACAGAAAGCAGACACCTGTCACTGAAACCTATTAAAGTACTGTTGGTATGCTATTTTGTGCAGCATTTAACATAAGGCAGAGTAGTGGCAGGAAAATGTGGGAATTTACTCCATATTTGCCAGAGATGAAGTATAAAGATTAAGCATAGCTGACAAAAACGCTGGGGCAAAAAAACATAAAATAAGTGTACCTACCAAAACATTTATTTTCCTTTTTATGTGTCAAGTTCAAAAGTTAATTGTGACAGACAGGACAGTTTTTATACCACAAACGTACAGAAGGTAACGCACACTGATCAGTAAGATCAACAAGCCTCTGGATCACACTTCCTTAAAAAAGTATTTGCTGCTTGATAAATGAGTTGACATTTTGCTTTAAACAAAAAATCAGATTACTTTATTATTTTGATGAATACAGTGATAAAATCAGGGTCTAACCAAATTAGACAGGCTGACAGTTGTCTGGGGTCGCTACACGAACGCAACAGCAGAGGGCGCCAGTGCTTTGACAGGTTTGCAGACATTTGAGGTGGAGTTAAAGGAATAGTACACCCAAAACATGATTAGCCTTCATTTTCTACTCACCCCCATGCTGAACAACACTCTGGAGTACTTTTTTGATATCTCAAATGCATCTGGAGATCTGGGAGGCTTCTTGCTGTCTGCTGACATTCAAATAATGGAGGTCTACGGTGCCAGAGGCAGAAAGGTCCATAAAAGTCCACATAAACGTGTCAATATTCCTCCATACTGCTCGTCCAATGTATTCCAAGTGTCCTGAGTGGGTAGCATCCAGAATTTACTCGAAACGAAGTCATTTAGAATGTTTTTAGAGCATAAACAGTAGTGTATAGGATTTCCTGAAAGCGCGTGCCGGCGCGTTCACGACGCTACGGAAGCCGGCAGACTAAACCAGATGAAAGTGCGCATTCGCGTCTGCTCTGCCGATAATGCAAGCGTAGAAGAAGAAATGTGCTGTTCACTTGTGCAAAGAAAGAAACAACGAAAGAAAAATGTCTGAGGACTTCAGTGTTGAGGAAGAGCATGAGTTCTTTGCTGAGCTGAATGCGCTGGTTTGGTCTGCCGGCTTCCGTAGGCTCGTGAACGCGCATGTGCGCGCTTTCAGGAAATCCTATACACTACTGTTTATGCTCTAAAAACATTCTAAATGACTTCGTTTCGAGTAAATTCTGGATGCTACCCACTCAGGACACTTGGAATACATTGGACGAGCAGTATGGAGGAATATTGACACGTTTTTGTGGACTTTTATGGACCTTTCTGCCTCGGGCACCATAGACCTCCATTATTTGAATGTCAGCAGACAGCAAGAAGCCTCCCAGATCTCCAGATGCATTTGAGATATCAAAAAAGTACTCCAGAGTGTTGTTCAGCATGGGGGTGAGTAGAAAATGAAGGCTAATCATGTTTTGGGTGTACTATTCCTTTAAGGCACAAATTTTAAAATAGTGGTCAAAGCAGCGGAGGCATCAAATATAAATACATCATTGCAGAGTGCAATTATAGAAGATGGCACTTGAAAAAAAAAAAAAAAACGGAAAAATACGAACAAAAGAGAAGCTTGACAAAAAAATTGAAGGGTGGAAGTAGGAGCTACAGTAAGCACACTGTGAGGAAAAGCCTCATGCAGGTTTCTGAGACATTCCATGAGCAAAGTTCAAAGTGCATTCGAGGTGAAGTGTTGCAAGATTTTAATAAAATATGTCATTACTGTATTTTTTTTTTTTTTTTTTTTTACTTTTTAATTGTATAAATAAATTTTTCAATACATTATTTCAATGAAATTCTGAGCACTTCAATACAAAATTGTTTCTTTAAACAAAATAAATTTGTTCTAACAGTTTTTTGTTTCCAAAAATGGGTCCTGGAAAGAGGCGGTGGTCCTATATTCGAGTCAGTACGGTAATAAACAAATATCAAAAAATGCTACCGGGCTGAACCATGAATTTACTGACTAACCACATCTATTTTTTTCCGTTTCACTTGTGTCTTTGGGTTTAAGATTATAGCCAAAGAGATTAGAAACGAATCTGAATGAAACGCTACTGAATCAGAGACCTAAAAACTAAACTTATTCCAATAACGAGCAGAAGTCGCAGATAAAACAGAGCAACTTTTGGACTGTTTAAAAGACCCATTTTAGTCAATGCTGAACAATTAAAAAAGATTTTTGACCAAAAGCCGTCATATAAACTCCGAGACTTGAAAGGAAAGAAGTGGAACTTCTTAGACGGTATCAGATCTGACCTAAAACTTAAAGCATATCAGAAAAAGTATTACATTCACAATGAAACATGGAGGTAGTAGCATAATGATCTGGGCCTGGGACAACATCAGTAGAAAAAATGACCCTCAGCATGATTCTGCCACCGCCAAAAACAGTTGGTTTTATACCAATTCCATCCCTGGAATGAACAGTTTACACAGAAGGTTTATATCTCAGAGCTTCCTAAGATGGAAGAAGAAGAAATAATAAAAAAGCAGCATGTTGGGAAGGAAGGAGGAAGAGAAGGAGATGAAGGGTTTTCCTGTGGGACAAGCACCAGTCGGGGGGAAAAAACACACACAGCTGTTAGAACAAGTTCGATCAGGCTGACAGCAAAACATCAGCAGACAAAGATCACAGTGCATGCCAGCAGCTCATGCACATCCATCCATCCACCCGTGCACCACTATCAGACCACAGCCGGCCAGGCACAGAGCCAGCAGGCTGCAGTTTGTGCCCACCTCTGATCCAGACGCAGAGGGCTCGCCAGAAACCGCAGCTGGGCCCGCCGGGCCTTTGCCAACAGACTAGCAGGAATATGAGAGCATAAATATGGAGGAAGAAGAAGAAAAAAAAAAAAAAAGGTACTGAGAAGACAGAGAATGAGCCCGGAGATTTAGGATTAAATTCCTGGGCGGAAACTATCCAGAGCATTTGCTCTGCAGGTCCTCATGCTGCGGTCTGAGTGGACTCTAAAGACTGCAACCCAACATTAGAACAAATCTGCTGCCTTTCTAATATTTGAGAAAGCTTTTACCTTATCCCTCGGTACTGCAGCAGGCAGCTCTCTCATCCGGTTTCTTCTCTGCTCCTTGAAAATGAAAACGGACATGAGTATAATTTAGATTTTCCTGATGAACAAATTGTACTCTAGTTTAATAAAAAAAAAAAACAGTTTTGCTAAAGTATTCAGAAGAAACCTATATATATTTTGTGCTGCAACATCCAGAACACCGTTTTAAATTTTTTTTTAAATAAAGGATGCATCTGTAGTTGGTCTGTCATTTTAAATAAAACAAACTTGATTTTCTGCAATGACTCCATACCTCTATATTGTTGTTCAAGACGCCGCAGGCGTCAGCAAAGTCTGGAT